GAATCTGGCACGTCGAGCTCATTTTCTTCTGCTAGTGCCTCTCAGACAGAAATGAATAATCCAGATGTTGTTGGACTCCAATTCCCAAAAGCTCCAGAAAGGTTGATCAATGATCGGAAAGTGTCAGAGTTCATCTGAAGTCCCGTGATTGAGAATTACTGGTCCACTCTGACTGTCAGGCAGCAGCTTTCAAGAGCCATTTCCAAAGCTCCCTGGCGAATGTAGGGCTGAATCCAGGATCTTCTTCTGGTTGCCAAGAACATACAGAATGCATGAGGCAGGCCTCCATATGGCAACCTCAAGTATTGTGCATGGAGGACCTTTTTGCCAGACTTCAGTGCTCCCTCAAGCATTCTTCATAATACTGTTCTCCATACTATGTATCCTTGCAGCAACCTGCAGAAATCCATTCAAATCTCATGGAGAACTTCACTATGATGTTCAGTATCAGACAGAGAAGAAAAAAACAATATAATGCCAGCTGCAATACCAGTCAATGCACCCTCGGTATCTGGTATCTAAGGCCTGATTGCTGCATACTGGGCTTGGTTGATCCCCCCCGCCGCCCCTCACGCCCCCCCCCCCCCAAAAAAAAAATGGTTCAAAACTCATTTCAGATGGTGGTTCAATTCTAAAGTCAATTTCGATTTTCACAGAATTATTTTCCAAAACATTTCAAAACTTCAGAGGCTTCCGAATCCTTTGGTTAATGGTTTGAAAGTGTTATTTCCTGTCTCATTGGGTGGTCTTTACTTTGAAAGTATTTGCGGGGAAAAGCAAGCGGAGGAAATTCCTTCCTTTTCTGGTTTAAAACTGGCTTCTCTGGCTTGAGCCGAAGCCAGGAAATTCCTTCCTTCTCTGGTTTAAAACTGTCTTCTCTGGCTTTCGGTTTTTAAAAAAGCTTCAATATCAGTTCAAAAAGGTAATTTTAACAAAATTATTAGAAGCAACAAGTTATCCAACGCAACTCTATCTATGCCTACTGCATACACACCAAATGTCATGCATAGGCCTGGGCGGTTTCGTTCGTTAATTTTGTAATTCGTTAAATATTCGTTATTTTTAGCATTTACGAAATGATTACAAAACACATTTTCAAACCCGGAAGGGTTTAAAAATAACGAACCGGCAACCCCCATAGTTTTAACGAGCTTCCGCCCGTTTCGTAAATGGGATGGAGGCTGCTGGTGCCCTGGGAGCCAATCCGGCGCTCCCAAGCACCCAAGCAGTGCACCGTGGCTGTTTCTGATTGGCCGGCAAGCCCTTTAAAAGCGGCTCCGCGCGGCCGTACAGCTCATTGTTGCAGAGGCGAGGGAGAAGAGAGGAGGTCCGGGAGGGTGGCTTCAGGCTAGCATTGGGTTGGCTTGCAACTAAGCTTGGATTGGATTCATTCCTTGCTGCTTAATTCCTTGCTTGGATTCATTCCTTGTTGCTTAATTCCTTGCTTGGATTCATTCCTTGTTGCTTTGCTTGTTATTCATTCCTTGCTTGCAACTAAGCTTGGATTGGATTCATTCCTTGCTGCTTAATTCCTTGCTTGGATTCATTCCTTGTTGCTTAATTCCTTGCTTGGATTCATTCCTTCATTCCTTCCTTCGGTTTTTGTCAATTTGTTTGTTAATTTTCCATTTTTAAATATTTTTGAATATTTTCTAAAAATACCTGTCTTTTATTCTTAAAAAAAACAAAAAATATTCTAAAAAAAGAAAAGACTCTTCTGTTGGTGTGTGCTCTCATTTGCCCTGTCTCGTGGCTGTGTTTGGTCCACATCAGGGCCAGTTTTTTGGTTAATTTTCCATTTTTGTTTTTAAAAAATACATTAAGCTGAGGAGAAGAGAGGGGGAGAGGACGCGGAGCTGCTCCCTACGCGTCAGCGAGGGGCATGGGCGGTGTAGGACAGAAGAAAAAGGCAAGAGGGCGGGGGGGGAGAGGAAGGGAGAAGAGACGAGAAGAAGGGCTGGGAAAACAAAGGAGCAGAGAGGAAGCAAGGAAGAGAGCATGTAGGTGTGCAGGGAGATTGGACCCTTGGC